AGAGAGAGAGAGAGATGGGAAAGCAGAAGGGGTGACATAGTCGCGGTGCGATAGTCGGGCGCTCTTCCTCCGGAATGAAGTCGGATCATATTTTTAAGATGCAATTTTGAGGGAAATCTCTTACGCGGTAGCAGCTGCTCGCCGCCCACCGTTAACCCCTTTTCCGCAGCCCTTCGCGACGTATATCCGGCGAAAGGTCGCCGTGTGACGAAACGAAAAGAGGGCGGGAACGAGGAAAGGGAAAGGGGTAGGCGAAGAGGATGAGCCGGGTTAAAGTGAGCGACGGAACACGGGAGGGATATGAGGCCCCTGGCCTGATCCCGGAAAAGACCGGGGAGGAAAGCTAATGCACCGCGCCGCGCGCACCTGCGGGATTCCTGGCTAGCGTAACCGATGGTAATATAATTATGGCATATATACGTGTGCACCGCAATCTTCCGCCAGGTGTTATGGCCGTTGGATTAATGCATTAAGATCCAAGGGCTGAAGAGAGAAGGGTGCACCACGCACCCGCGCGCGCTTTAGGAGTTCATGAACGGATCTTCTGTTTAAAATTGTAAACAAAATTATGAACTTATGAGTTAAAAAAAAAATGTTCGTTCAACACTCCTTTAAATATTTTTGCAAGAAAATATAAGCAAGAAAGAGATTATAAAATTATACAAAGAAATTGCGACAGGAATAAGAATGACCTGGATTGACTGTATATAAGATTAGTTATTAGTTATAAAGTTTATGGAATTGAGTGATTGAAAGATATTCCTCAAGCTGCCTTTTTACTGTATTATATTACATACAACGGCGCTGCGAAAGTTATCAGAGGGGTGGGGGGAAGTTCGAGAAAAGTATCGCGCGATCATTTATAATCGTGTATACCCTGCGAATTGAGTTTGATCAAACTTCCGTTTGTCATAAACATGCAATGGAATAATATAAGTCTCATAAAGTTTGCGCAGCCGTTCGAACGACAGAAAGATTCCTATCGAGAGAGAGGAGTAGAGCGAGTTAGATAAGAAGTTATCGGGGAACCTCGACGCTTGGAAATTAACGCGCAGCCGTTTCGTTCTCCGCCCGATTTCATAACTCGAACTACATTACGCGGATTGAACTTTATTGTAACGTAAACCCGGGTTACGTGCGCGGTTAAATTTCGCGAGTGTTGCTCGCGGCTCGGTGTCTCCGCGCGTGTCGTTAGTAGACTTGCGGTGATTATCGAGTGACGTCACGGCCATTCGCGTGCCGTGATTCCGGGGCCGCAGCCCCGGGTGATCGGGCCGATTAGAATTCAGGAGGTGCGCTTCCCGCGGCTTCCACCGATACACAAGGCCAAAGTTTGTCGCTGATAGTCCCGAGCACGCCTTGGGAGCGTTCCTTTAACTTCCGTCTCTGCAATTGCCGCGCCGGTGTGTATATACACAATGCGCAACGGCGGCGGCGGCTGCCGTTTCGAAATTCTAGTGGCGCTGCCTAGAATAAGCAGGCGGGTGGTCTCCCGAGGCAACTATCCCGCATGAGCTTGGGACCGACTAACGTTGGTTATGCTTTGATACCCGTTTTATGCTCGTTGCGCGCCTTTTATTTCCCGAGACGCGACGACGTCACGGATGACGGGGGAATCATGCACCGAGTTCAATCTCGGCTCGATACGACGTGGCTTTAGAAACGATACCGTTTAAAATTTATAATTCCGATCGCAAAAGTACGCGCGTGTTTGTCAGAGGAATTAGAGACTGCCGCCACGTTTTCGAGAATGCATAAATAAATTACTGAGGGAAAATATAACATCCAAACGTCGACCTCTTGTACGTAAAATTGTCTGTATCGTATGTTTGCCGCTAATTTGACGATATAGATAAAATTTATGACAGAGATTCTCGTTACGAAACTAGATCTGTATCAACGTAACGTCGTGTCGGAGGCTTCGCCTCGCGTCAATATAGCTTATATATTATGCAAATAAAGGATTTAAAGTTTGCTCAGTGTTCGATGTGCGGAGCGAGATGAGAGCGTCACGCTTCGACGTATCGAAAGGAAGCCCTCCATAAAAGTCTTTCCTATATGCAGGTACCACGTAAAATTTACGTGGTGTCGTATACGTGCGCATTTTCGGAACCACCGCGATATCATAAAAAAGCAGTATACGAGGATATATTTAAGAATTCTTACGTCGTGTATCCAGACGAGCTTGGACCATGGAGGGTTGGCTCTAATGTGGCACTCAAAGTACACGTCATCCCCTTCTTTAATGTCCTCTGGGCTTAAAGTCGATCCGAGGTTTAACGATACTATCGGCGGATCTGCAAGAATAAAATATTAAAATCTCTCTCTATATCATATACATTAACAACAAGGATATACATGCATTATTTCACAGTTACATGGGCGTATCCAGAATTTTCTTTTTCGAAGAGAGTTTTTATTAATTCTTAATACAAACAGCAATTTCTTGCGTTAATGATTTGCTTTTTTCAATATTCTTAAGTTTAGAATATTTCCTCGTTCCTGCTTTTAAATGAGAAAAATATTAGGTTTTATAAATCATAACTTTTAACTTTTTCTTTTAATTTCGGGGGGAGGTTTTGATAACCTCCCAAATCTCCTTTCGCTGAATAGGCCCATGCACGGTCACATATATAATCTGCTATATATCAGTCTCTGTCTTCGTTCTTCATTCACATAACGCGTGGATAATAAAAATGGTATTACAACAAAAAAACGAGATAAAAAGGGGGATGGACTCTGGTATTATAAACTTCACTCATTCAGTCATCTTTTTGTCTATAAAAATATTATATATATAATAAATACTATGATAAAAGCATCGTAATCGCTGTTTTCATTACTGGACCCGAGACGCGCGTATCTCGATTTCCGACGACGAAGCTACGTCCGCGAGGCATATAATCTTCAACCTCTCCCTCCATTAGCTCCGATATTTTTCCTAGCCCGTGAGACTCTCAATAATATCTCGCGCCGTTCCCATGGTAGCTCGTAGACGTTTCCCCGCGGCTCACAGCTACGGATAGCTCTCTAGAAGTCTTTTATTTGCTCGTCGTATCTGACATTTACCGCGCGCATTAGTTCAATCATACCTCAGACCACCCCCTCTCCCCTCCCCGCCGTTTAGTTTACTTCCACGGCGTATCGTTTCGTGGAACCTTATCGCTCATCGCAATGTATTTCCCGTTCTTCAGGCCGAGCCATTTCTCTTTTTCTGAAACCACGTACTTCCGCGAGATAGTACTAATTAGCCCGATCGTGTCATCCCCTCCGAACTTA